CTCCTCCCCTCCCTTCCCCCCCCCTCCCCTTCCCCCCTATCCCCTCACACGCTCTGCGAAAGCCCCCACCCCACCCCCCACGTCCGTACCTGATTAGATTGATCGGCGTATGGCATAGCACCGCGTCAGACGGTCGCCCTCATCTCGTCGCCTGTTTACGTCGCATTCTCTCACGTCGACGAGGCTGTTCGCCCTCATTTCCCCTCCAGTAATTAGAGCAAATGCGATGGTCCTCAGAGCATTAATTTTTGCCCTGGGGCGGAAGGCGAGGCGAGATGACTAGAAAGGGAGAGGGATAGCGGTGGGAAGGGAGGGGGGGGGAGGGGCAGCAGTTGGAGGGGGATAGGGGAGGGTACTCGGAAGACAAGGATGAGGGGGGGGGGAGGGAGGAAGAGGAAGAGGCAGAAGGGGCGCACATAATTAATTCTCCCTAAGAGGGTCGGATTAATTTTCTACGGGATTTAACGGCCATGTTAGCAGACTCCAGATTGTTTCCGAGAATCCGCATCGCGCTGCCATGACGGGGAGTTTCCAGCCTCACGAACCCGGTTGCGTTTGTTTCCTTGCCGATGCGTTGCGAAGGGACGGGTATTAGTTGATCGTTGCCTGCACGGGGCCGCTGGTTACGTAATCTCGTGTGACATTTCATTTAGCTGTGCGCGGGTTTGATTTACGGTGCGGCTCAACAGTGTTTCCTGTGGTATGACGGAGCATTGTTCTGGCAGATAAAGCGTAGGTATTCATTATTTTGCACTCTAGCGTATTTCTATAGTATGTACTGCTTATTATACTCCAGCGTGAAAGGATACCCATACACGGTATAACACATCCGTCGTTTGGACACGCCGGGTACAGCAAACATAACTGATTTAACATAGTCCTCACTTTCGGATATTCGTCTTTGAATGTCCACAGAATTCATTCATTCATTAATAATCCGGTGAATAGATGGAGCTTTTAATGAAACGTCATATGGCATTCACGTTGTTTATCGTTTCCCTCCGTAATTATCAAAATGTTTTGAAGGTAAAGGCTTTCTCTTCGGCGGTTGTGAATGGAAACTCACCCATTCCCCTGCTAGAGTGGAATACTAGAGTGAATCATTGAGACACGAAGGTAATATTTCGTTCTGCAAATCACAAAAGGTCTTGCATATGTATGAACACTTGATACAACCGGTGGGTGCCGCGCGAGCTGTCTGGGATAGAGTTGGTTGTTGTGTTCGTGTGGTGGTGTTTGGAGGGGAAGGGGGAAAGGAGGGGGAGGGGAGCGTATTGCTTGGTGGTGTGTCGGCCTTTGTCTGAGATATGCTCTCTCTCTCTCTCTCTCTCTCTCTCTCTCTCTCTCTCTCTCTCTCTCTCTCTCTCTCTCTCTCTCTCTCTCTCTCTCTCTCTCTTCTCTCTCTCTCTCTCTCTTTCTCTCTTTCTCCTTTCTCTCTTTCTCCCTCTCCCTCCCTCCCTCCCTCCTCCTTCCTCCTCTCCTCCTCTTTCTCTTTCTCTTTCTCTCTCTCCTTCTCTCTCTCTCTCTCTCTCTCTCTCTCTCTCTCTCTCTCTCTCTCTCTCTCTCTCTCTCTCTCTCTCTCTCTCTCTCTCTCTTCTCTCTCTCTCTCTCTCTCTCTCTCTCTCTCTCTCTCTCTCTCTCTCTCTCTCTCTCTCTCTCTCTCTCTCTCTCTCTCTCTCTCTCTCTCTTTCTCTCTTTCTCTCCTCTCTCCTCCTCTCCTCTCCCTCCTCCTCTCCTCTCTTCCCTCTCTCCCTCCTCCTCCTCCTCCTCCTTCCCTCCTCCTCCTCCTCTTCCTTCCCTCCCCCTCTCTCTCTCTCTCTCTCTCTCTCTCTCTCTCTCTCTCTCTCTCTCTCTCTCTCTCTCTCTCTCTCTCTCTCTCTCTCTCTCTCTCTCTCTCTCTCTCTCTCTCCTCTCTCCTTTCCTCTCACTGCTCCTCTCTCTCTCCTCTCTTCCTCCCTCCTTCCCTCTATCTCTCCCTTTCTCCCTCTCATATACATGTACTTATATAAAAGGTCACATCAAGACATTTAGAAGGCCAGGGAGTTCGGTCCCTAAATATTTTGGCGGATTGGTGAAAATATTAACATGGTAAAAGGAAAATACCAATTTACAACTATGAACCGAAGCAAAAAAAAAAAAAAAAAAAAAAAATCTTCATCTTGTACAAAAGACAGTCAAAGGTGACTGTAGTCTACATGAACGAGCCTCTTTCTATTCTAACTAAAGATTCTAGGTCGGGTTTCTTAGTAATAAACTCATTCATTATGTCATCCGAATTTATATGTTCTATTCATTTTTTAAGTCTAGATATTTTAAAACAAATTTCTGATATTTCTTTAATGCCTGGCATGAATTAGGCCCTTACCCCCTTCATCAGGAGCACGAGTGTGTATTTGTGTGTGTGTGAGTATCTGTATCTGTTTGCGTATATCTGTGTGTGTGTGTGTGTGTGTGTGGGTGTGCGGTGTGCGTGCGCGCGCGTGTACAGATAATATATGCT